ATAGATCCGGTTCAATTATAACATTACGTAACCTATTATGACATTACGTAACCTATTATGACATTACGTAACCTATTTATGACATTACGTAACATATTATGATATTACGTAACTTATAATGAGACAGTCGTTTAGCGGACATGAAACATAATAACCAACGCAGTCTACTGTAACAGACCAACTGAAATGAAATGGAGTTTAACGCCCTATACTGTTCTGCACCGCCCGGGCTAATGAAGAAATTTTGCCCTGACAACGGAGCTATGGGCTACTTTTATTTCGAATTCCAACTGTCAAGGGTTCTTTTACGTGAACGCCAATGTGTACCCGTGATTCCAGTTTTTCGTCCCATCCGAACGACGAGACGTTGTTCCTCTGGCAACGGGAAACCACACCGGATAATCCAGAGGAATTTTTTCGACCAACATCTGGAGCGAACCCGAGACCTCCTAGATAGTGATCTAGTGGCTTACTCACTGAACCACCGCAGCTCCCAACCAGCAAAACTCAGACTATCTAAAATGTCCATGTAAAGGTACCGTCTACGGAGGGGCTGGCAAGGGAGAGAGAAATGGGGTTTAACGTCCACTCGACACAAACTAGGTCATTTCGGGACTAAAATATGGTTTAATTTTATTTCAATAATTCGCTTGCACGTACGGGTCTTTAGCAGTGGGAGGAAACCGGAGAACTCAGAGAAAACCCACGAGGTTGAACAGGCGACTCTACTCCTTGCCATGTACAGCCGGGGAATCGGGGCTGGCAAGGAACAATGCCTAGTTGGAATTCAAATAGCAAATGCAGGAGGACCGCACTACACGCAATACAAAATCTACAAGATAAACCTGTGGACAAGACAAAATATGGACATAAGAGGAGGCCATAGTGCAGCTGTCCAGGCAAATTCTCCCTTATAGAACAATGCATGACGCATGCCTGTTTTCATTATCCCGGTCGGTGCAGACACTAGGATGTTAAATCGCGTTTTTAGTTGCCATTGAAACTCGTATTATGATATCCAAATATCTTAAAACAATTTGAAATATGGTTTAATGAGTGAATAATGTGGACAAGATTATCATCATTATGTTAAATATCATGGTTATTATAAACAATTGTTATATAATTAATTTAACATTATGTTTAACAGACGGCAATAAACGATATTTTAAAGATCTGAGAGATTGATACTATTTGAATAGGGCCTGCGTTGGTTGAGATCAGATATTTAAAGTCTCGATGCGTCATTTTAACGCTATAGGAATCCCTTAAAAACAATAATATTGTAAAGGTGCATCTCTAATAGGGATATCGACCCAGTAATAGTCAAATTCCGTTCAGTATTTACAAAGATATGTTGATTTGAAATTTCATCAATCTATGCTGCCTTGCTATGGAATAAGTCCACCGCCATTTCGTTGTGGGCAAACAGAACTGGTATGCCTATTTTAAATGCAATTAAATTCAAGCCGGGATATTATCTAGCGTTGGTAATTTGATTTTGTGAAATAATGAATCTAGGTACATATTAAGCCGTGAGAAATATGATATTTTAGCGATAAATACAAATGACGCATCCTTACTTAAATCATGTCAGATTGAGAATAGCTTTATCCTAATAAAATCATCTGTTAATTATCTGTTGTTTTATTGTTTATATTATATTAATATCTGTGATTGGTTCACGTGAAATTCTTGATTAATCAAATTGTTAACATTGCTATACGGGGCTGCGTATTGTGGTAAATTATGGGAAAGGGTGTGGATGGTATAACCATTTGGAATATGATAGAACTATTCCCAGCAGAACATTGTGTAGTGAGACATTGTGTAGTAAGACAGTTTGTAGTAAGACATTGTGTAGTAAGACATTGTGTAGTGAGACATTGTTTAGTAGGACAGTGTTTAGTAAAACGTTGTGTAGAGTGACATTGTGTAGTAGAACATTGTATAGTAAGACGTTGTGTAGTGAGACAGTGTGTAGTAAAACAGTTTGTAGTAGTACCGTGTGTAGTAAGACAGTTTGTATTAGGGCGTTGTGCAGTAAGACAGTTTGTTGTAGGACATTGTGTAGTAAGACATTGTGTAGTAAGATACTGTATAGCAATAGTAAGCACAGGATGACTACACCACACACAAACAAAACCCAGGGACAAAACACCCAATATACACAGCAATTATATAACATACACCTTCACAGTTATAAAGTAAAGGATAAAGTTTTAATCTAGTCAATTTAACCCATTTCATACGCGTAAAGAATGTACTATATTCCTGGCACAAAATATAAATAGACTATAATATCAGATCAGGTGACTAGATATGTGGGCTAGCTGTTAGTGATTACTGTGCTGTACAGCCCCGGGTCTGTAATGATACAAACAGTGACAACACACTACGGGAAACAATGCACGAAAAAACATTGATGTTGTAAGACATGGTATTTAAATGTTTAATGGTTGTAGGATGGTCTTGTTTACATAATTATCATAGTGGTTATTTATTATACGACTTCCTGTTTGTATGCTGGTTAAAATGTCAACATATAAATCATTTCTCCATATTAACATACATATACGAGTATATGTTATAAATCACCATGTCGACATGGATCGGCTGACCGAATCGGTCTAACGCTATAGATCATAATGTCTGTTATTGAGTCAGGAGGCGTGGTCTCGATTCACCGGTTGTACGTGATAAGGAGTAGGCTTGCCTGTCCAACCTCGTGAGATTTCTCCGGATGTTCTCGCATTGCTAAAGACCCCTGCGCGGAAGCGAATTATTCATATAAAACTGAACTCTCTCTCTCTCTCTCTCTCTCTCTCTCTCTGGACACGTAATGTATTTATATGATATAAAAATATATGTTGCAGTTTATCGTCGGTAATCGTCAACATCAACTTGTAGATTTTAAACTGGTTGTACAGGTGGTTCGTCATCTTCTATCTTAGATACGTGTTTCGCGGTCATTATGTGTCATTAAAGAGATTTGATGTTATTTCAAGGCCACTCAGATGACTGAACATCCACTCATTTCCTTTTCGTGTAATATATTATTTAAGTATACTTTGAAATGTGGTCATTCGATTGATACAGTGTTTAATTTTCATAGGGTGCAGTTATGGTCGTTTATCTTGTACACACCCTAGATGCCAAACTTAGATAGAAATTTATGTTCATGAGACTAAAGAATCTATTAATTATCAACCATTTCCGATAACTAGAACATTTAATGCTATCTTATGGTTAAGAGACGCTGTGGCTCAGTGCATAATGCACTGACTCACTGAACAAGAGGCCCGGGGTTCGATCCCGGTGTTGGTCGCAAAAGCTTCAGGAGATTATCCAGCGTGATTTCTACTTGTCCCTTGTACGCGTAAAAGATCCCTTGACAGTTGGAATTCAATATAAGAGTAGGCCGAAGTGCCGCTGTCCGGGCAACACTTCCCTCATAGCACACTGTATGGCGTGTGTCCGTCTTCATTAGCCCAGTCGGTACAGAACAGCAGAAAGTCCGTTTAAGAATGGAGTATTGTGATATTACAGTATTGTATTTTGTATTTTGTAACAGGACTACAGTACATTCTTTACGGGTGTATATTAACAAGATTAAAACTTTATCCTACTTTATAACTGTCAAGGTTGATATGCAGGTTCTTTAAATGTTTTCGTATCTAGAGATTAAAGTATTATTTAAAGGGACCCTCAGACAATCTCGCTTAAACGATGTCCCTAGTTTTCTGCACCGACTAGGCTATTAGCATTGAAGACAGGCATACTCCATGCAGTGTGCAGTTAGGGCCATTTTGCCCCGAAAGCGGCGCTACGACCTACTTTTTTTCCCTGTTTCCTACTGTGAAGGGTTCCCTTACGTGCTTACTAATGTGTACACTGTACCTCGGATTTTCGTACCATCCTCCGTCTTCCACCACTAACAAGGGAAAACCAAGCCGAGAGCTCTCTCTCTCCCCCTCTCTCTCTCTCTCTCTCCCCCTCTCTCCCCCTCTCTCTCCCCCTCTCTCTCTTGTCATCTCCCTTAAGCGATTTCGCTTCAATAATGGCGACAAGGGATAGCGTCAAGTGTTGACCTTTACAAGAGTCAATAAATATTGAAGTATAACTGAAGAGGAATTTCATTGATAAACAGTGTTTGAGTAAAGATATCAATTCCCTTGTGTTTGTCAATTGAGAAATAATAAAAAGTTTATTTAGTAAGATTAAACCGTCCCTTATTTCGGTTGCTATTGTAAATCATGCGCGCTACAAAAGAGGCCCATCGGTAGGTTTTCGTGGCATTAGAAACCATGGTAATCCTTTACAATAGTGTGAAAATATACCTTGTTAAAAATATTAGATCCTTATATAGTATGACGTCCCGAGTTCGATCCCTGTGTTATCTGAGAATGTTCTTCGGGAGTTACAGTCTTGTGTTACTTGTGTTACCATGGCAATTGTGCAGGAAGGAGGGCCTTACGAGGAAAAGCGTCCAGTCGTTTGGATTGGACGAAAAACCGAGGCCTGCGCATACCACTGACGATACGTTGGAGAGAGAGAGAGAGAGAGAGGGGGGGGGGTAACGTCCACTCGACACAAACCAGTAGGGAGGGAGCCGGTGGACCCGGGGAAAACCCATGAGGTTGGACAGGCGACCCTACTCCTTTTACATAGAAGCGGGGAGTCAGTAGTAGCGTTGTCAGGGAATAATGTTTGTCATAGCACACTGATCGGGGTAGGTCCGTGTTCAGTTTTTGCAGAAACGCAAGACGTACCCCCCCCCCCCATTTCATTTCGAGCGGACATGGTGTATATTCTGTTATGTTTTGGTGAATATTGAGGCAGAAGGAGTCAGTAGGTTAACATCCATGAGGAAGGGAAATCACCTACGAAAATGACGTCACGGCATGTAGCTGCCTTTGACCGGATGGTCAATTTGTATTGCTTCGTGTTCAGTTGAGTAAGCCATATGGGTATATCATATTTTTCTTTTGTATTTTCAGGAAATGTTCAAGGGCGTTGATCAAAATAACGACGATAAAATAACGCTAGATGAATTTTTAAATGAAATGGGGAAAATGAACCCTAAAGATTTACAGTAAGTAGGGCCTTATGGGCCTTAATAGATCTTATACAGTTTTTGTTTTGCCCACGATTATGACAGTCGCTGGATTAGGAACTAACAACCTCAATATAAGCATTGTGCCATTTCAGGCGTCATTGTAATTAATGAGTGCTTAAAAACACAGCTCTGAACCATGTCAGCCGTCGGTGCAGTATATACCTGCTTAAAAACAAAGAATTGAACGCTGTGTCTTACTAAGTGAAAAGTCTTGTTCCAATTGATTAACCGTATAGCGTTATTAGGGCGGTGTGGATATTAAGCACCCCCCCCCCCCTTTGAGACCACAAAAAGGTGAATCACCTGATGAAAACCTGGAGATATTTAAGCGCGCGGACTGACCCCCCCGCCTGATATATTGATATCCAAAATTGTTAAAAGTCGGTCGGCTTTCCTCAATAAATTCCGAAAAATTCGACTTGACTATTTTAAGATTTGCTTGAAATACATTAAATATCGGCTTTATGTTGAAAAACATTAAATATTGGCTTTATGTTGAAATAGGCTACATTATGTTGAAGAAAATCGAAGGCTATATAAATGTTTTGGCCACAGCTATGTCTATTTTTATAGTGTGGTGAACACTAATAAAGACGGACACACACCATGCAGTGTGTAAGGGATATTTTCCCTGGACAGTGGCGATTTCGCCTAGCCTTCATAGAATTCCATCTGTTATGGAATCTGTTACGCGCACGCCAACCATTAGGCTACAAGAGGATTCTTAGTTTTTCGTCCCACCAGAACGACAAAACGCATTTTGTCGAGGAACTTTCTCGGCCAACACCTAGGTCGAATCCGGGAACTAGCCTTCGTCTATATAGTTTAAACGTGTAGTACTTATCTGGAGATTGTTAAATATATAGAGGATATTTGTCGTTTTAGAGTGAAAACATATTTTATTTCATCGAGAAGCAAGAAAACTTATATTTTCACGAATGCGTATCATGAGTGAAAATATAAACGTTTTCTTGCTTAGAGATGAAATAAAATATGTTATTCACGACAAAACGACAAATGTTCTATTTATTTTATGATTTTACAATCATTTTAGGTAAAAACAACATGGACTACTTTAGCCCGTGGAATAACACTTTTATTTCACTGATAAAACGCGGTACTCCACTACTGATCATAAAATAAATTATTATATTATTGTGGTCTTCATTGCAGGAGAGCAGATCTGGAAAGAGCTTTCGACATGATCGATCAAGACAAGAGCCGAACATTAGACGCTGGAGAGCTGAAGAAATTATTCGCCACGTGCGGTCATAAAGTTTCAGATGATCATATCCAATCTATTATCAAGAAACTTGACAAAGATGGCGACGGTCAAATCAACTTTGATGAATTTATGAAATTATTTTAAATATATTTGCCCATTAAAACTGGTGGGAGATCTTGACCTAACTCCATTACTAAGGGTCGGGATTTGGAGGCTAGAGTGATTTCCCTTTCCAATAGTTAGATTATCTCCCTTTGTCAACTAACGTTTCAACGAGGCACATTGAAAGTTTCTTGTTTCGAATATTAATAATTAATCAGCTTCATTCTTTTGCGTGGTGCGAACTGCTGTCGTAATACGGCAGGTTTTGTGCCCACAAAGGGAGACAACCTTCCAATTTGACAGGGATTTTTAACTAATGGTTATATACCACAATTGGGTTTACTCATTTAAATTTCATCCAGTCATAAAAACGAAGCGAAATATGCTTACAATTTAAAATTTACTAAAATAAAATTTAACTTCTTTACCGTGGGCTTTAGTGACAATGAAACTGGAGTGAGTTCTTGTTATTTTGAGCGCTTGATGGTCACAAATCACAGAACTAAAGTCATGTAATTGCAATTCATATTTAAATTACACAACAATTACAATTTATATTTAAATTAAACATCAATTACAATTTACAATTTATATTTAAATTACACATCAATTAAAATTAATATTTAAATTAAGCATCAATTACAATTTATATTTAAATTACTCATCAATTAATTACAATTTAAATTGTATTTATATATTGCAATCTTTATTTAAATATTTGGGGAAATTTTTGGGAATTTCACAATAGTGATTCCAACACTGACATTTATGGTAATCAAGTTATTATTTTTTATTATTATATTGTTGGAATTATATTGTATTATAATTTTTTTTAAGTATTATTATTGTTTATATATTTTATTTTATATTCAATATTAAGTTAGACAGACGGTTAGCATGGCTTCAGCTTAATTCAGCAAATAGTTAGACAGACAGGTTAGCTTGGCTTCAGCTTAATTCAGTAATAGCTCTTTGGAGTCTGCATGTAATATCATTTTTAAAAAATAGTTTTTAAACAAAGTAATTCGGAATTTAGCCAAAAAGAAAAAAATTCAAACTGAATGATGTAATGTATTTTAATCATAAAAATATAGTCTACGGCCCAGTTGTCTTGTTTTTATTCCCATAAATATTATATAAGAGGGTGTCTTTCCAACAACAAGTTTCCGGTCTCCCCAAATAATATGCGATATATACTGATATTTCAACCCTCCCAACCAGTACCCCCTCCCCCGAGTCAGAAAACCCTAAAAAAACCACCAAAGCAGCCCACGGGGATGTATTTTAGTTGTGGACAGAAAAAGAAGACGGGGGAGCTAGACCCGGGGAATAGGCTGCGTAAGGGATGATCTTGAAGCCACAGTTATGTGCAGCTCTCACTGCTTCTTGGACGGTGTAAACTTGAGTAGTGTCCTGGAGCAGCCAGTTTACTTCGGGGCTTTGGTTGATATGATCACGCAACCTGTACAATTCATCTGCGTAATATGTATCATTGATGGTGGAATCCTTCTTTATGTAGATAATCTATTCTAATTTCGCCCTCGGAGTCTTGGAAAACGGGAGCCACGATCTTGCCATATTTGCATTTTTTGGTCGTTACTGACGCCATGTGCTTCCACTGCTTACTGTCACTTTTTGTCCGTGGGTAAAACTGATAAACCCAGATTTCACCCGGAGTAACAATATAACTCCAAAAAGCGATCATCTTTGACTAACAATGACACACTAACGGACCGACACCGTGTTCATGTTCAAATGTTCATGGATTATTCGTTCCACTGATAGTTTTCCAATGTCTTGTGAAGTATCTCGCCTATCCTGCGTTATTGTGTCAAGGACAGCATCTTGCGTTATTGTGTCAAGGACAGCATATCGCTATCTTGAATGGCCACTTTAAAAGGGCAACCAGACCGTGATTCGTCTTCAGAGCTGATCCTAACCTTTGTAAATTCAGAACACAACTGCGAACCACATAGCGTAATGGCACGCTGCGAGACCAATTAGAGGGCCCTAGGTCAATGGACTACTGTACTATGCGCATCGGTAATTTCGGTCCTACGCTAATAGCTAGAATCCATTCTGGAACAAAGGGTTGAGATGAACCTTCTATATTTTTCAAGCACAGTTTTTAGGGTCTTTTGACAAATAATTATTGTGCCGATTCGTCGAACGACAAACATCTACACGTAAATGTTTACTAGGGATTCGAAACGCCGCAGTCCGGGCAAAATTCCTATCCTATGTACATCACACAATGACTACTTGGCATTCACGTCTCAATATGGACGACAAGCATGCGTTCCCTATTCTAACCAGAACAACTTGACTTTCTTAGAATTAGGCCCGGTGGAGTGTGTGTGTGTGTGGGGGGGGGGGGGCTTTAGCTTCCGCAATAATTTAGCCGCACGTACTCTTTTCTCCAGGATGTTGCCTGATTTTAACATAAAAGTGAGACTTCTAGAAGAAGAAAAACTTGCCATGCTCTATATTGATCCCTGGCTTAAGAGACCCACGATTGCGAGGGTCGCGATTAGATGACTGAGCAGTCGATCTTTATTTCAAGTCCATCTCCCGTCCGTTGTATCTATGACAGATTAGGTAATTAGAAAAAGTTTTATTTATATTCTTTCCTTGTGTCCCTTATCACTTATGACCAGTTAAAACAAGCGGTTGCCACAGTTTGCAAGAAATGGATGGTAAAGAGGTAAAATCAATAGGGGCCATCCTCTCATTCGAGAACTTTTGATCCTTAACATATTTGTTAAATTTCATTAGAATGGGACAACAATGGTAGCCCCTCTGGGGGGCCTACAAGATCCATACATATTTCAAATTTTGCATGAAAAGAAGGGGCTATAGCTCTAGAATGTAAGGTCTGATGCGTACCAAAGTCGAACTCGTCCAAGAACTTTAGATCCTTAACACATAGTTTAAGTTTCATCGTGAAAGGTCCACAGACTCCATTCATATTTCACATTTTGTGTAAAAGGCAGAGGCAGATGCACACGAAAATTGAACTCGCCCACGAACTAATGATACTGGTTTTAAGTTTCATCAAAATCGGATAAAATTGTGACCTCTAGATGGTCCAAAACCTGGGTATTACATACTTTTATTATACTATTTACGTATAGGGAAGTGAATATTTGACGAGAGGAAGTTTCGGTCTGATTTTCAGGAAATTCGGACTCACCCATAATCATGCTGTAACGGTGATATCTTTGAACAGTTTTAAAAATTTAATAAAAATTGTGATCTCTTAGAGGGCCCATACGCTAAAATCGTGATATTTCGTACAACCAGGGGATCATAATCCAACAGGTTACGGTTCAATACGCGCCAATATCGCAAGGAACCCAGATCTTTGGGATATAAATATATATTTTAAGTTTCATCAAAATTGGATAAAAAAAACCCGAACCGCTGGATGGTCTCAACCTGGGTATTACGTTCAGAACTACATATTAAGGCCACCGGCAGATTTCGTCATGGTCACAAGATGTAAACAGGGTAAGGGCACGTTATTATTGCCGAGGATTGTGGGTTAGGTTTAAGAATTTGGGGGAGAGGTTAAGTCTCCACATAAGCACTGACCTAGGACGATGAAAAATTAGTTCGTGATATTTCCTAGTTTTATTAAAAATACACACAATACATTAGATTAATATACAAAGGTGATTTCACTGTTTTTTGGTGTTGGTGGCGCTGATGGTGTTCCTTGGATGGTGCTTCTGGTATTCTGGTATATTTGTTTCTGAAGAAAGAAGAATAAATATGAGGATCTCGAGGGAGAGCCACATTAGTGTGTTTCCTACTACGAATTGGATTTCCTAAAAATGTGTTTGTTCCACATTACCGGGTTAGGGCTACGGATTCTTATATCTAGTTGATTTTATTTACTAACGGTTAGGGTGGAGACTGATCTTATTTAATCTAATTTACTGTGCACTAGGATGTCGTTCAGATTTTTATTTTTAGAATATGCAATTATAAGTTTCTGTGTGAAGACTTTCGGGTGATTTACTTGGAGATCAGTATAGTGTTTTCTGATGATTTTGGATGCTCTTGCTGCTGTTGCGCTAAATGGAACTACAAAAGGGGCTATTGCGCTAGCCGTATGAATATTCAAACCTAGGGGGCTGCTGTTTTCAATTTGTCAATCCAGAATTTTTCTCTTGTTAGCCTAAACGTTTTAATTTCTTCTGTAGTTTCAAAGTGGTTCTTGGTCTTTTCTATTGGCGTGACAATGAGATCAGAAATGTCATGATTTGGTTGGTTGAAATGAATCAAAACCGGTTGGTCGTTTTTGGTGACTATGTCTGACCGGTGACCGTTAATTCTTTCCCCAAGTGCATTCTGAGTCTCCCCTACGTATTGTTTGTCATATTGTCTACATGAAATTAGATAAATTATGTTTGAACTATTGCATGAAAGTTGGTCTAATATTGGGAATTGTGTGCCAGATGTTTTGTTATGGAAATGGTCGGATATGTTTATGATTTTGCATGTTTGACATCTCGGATGGCCACAAATTTTGGTTTTAACTGCTGATTGCATATTATTTGTTCCTTAGGAGGCAAGTTCAGCTAGAGTATTGTTTTTTATACGTCGGAGATAGCGTTTGGAGTATCCCCTTTCTCTTAGTTTGCTAAATACCGGGCGTACATGCTGACTCAAAGTCGGTCTTCTGGGTGCATATCCTATGAAAACGGAGAATCTGGGATTTTATGATGCCAGAGAAGGTAGGTTTGGGGTGAAAGGAGCTCTTGAACAATAAATGAAAAATACTTTAGTTTTCAGCTGGCCTGTGATTTTGGTGTTGCTACTTTTAAAGACGGTGGTGTCAAGGAAATCTATGCTGTTATGACTTACATCTGCGGTTAATTTTACAGATGGATGATGATTGTTCAGAATGTTGAAAAACGTCCAAAATTCGTCGAGCGTGTACGTCCAGACTATGAAAACGTCCATAGAAATCTGGTTTAAATGGGTAGAGCGGCAGAACTTCCCTTTCCCACTCCGCCATGAAGAGATTTGCATAACTCGGGGCAAATCGTTTTCCCATCGCAGTTCCGGAAGACTGGAGGTATACTTGGTCGTCATTCATCCTTAGACAAGTGTCGAGTAGTTTGAGGATTTCTTCGTCCGGCCTAGATGCTTGTGGGTTCCTAAGAAAAGCTTTCCTAACCGCTTCAATACCTGTGTTATTATCGATGTTCTGTACATGCTCTGTACATGGACATTAAAATGGTGTGTTCAGGGACTCTTAACTGTTTGAATTTGTGAATAAAATCGTTAGTGTCATTTAGGTAGAATAGGTGTTGGCATGCTAGGGGTAATAAGAAATGGTCTATATATTGTGATACATTATATGATTCGCTGCCACAGTTTGATATTATTGGGCGTCCCTTGGGTAACCTATTAGGTATAAACCATTCCGTTTCTGGATTGTTATGTATTTTCGGTAGCGTATAGAGATGTCGTTGTCGACAGTCAGATTTAGCGGATAGATAATCATATTGTTTTGCTGTTATGTATACTTGTCCTGCAATTCATGTAAGATGTTGTTTATTAAAGTTGCAGTGTCCTTAAAGATGGGTTGGTCTAATTTAGAGTAACCAAGTTCAGCATCAAAGGATTAAACCACCATCACTGTGTTTTCATGGTAAGGGAATTAGAAAGGAAATACAATTTCACTTCATTGCTCAGTACTTTTATTAGCCAGAAATCGCTCAGAAAGCGTCTCCGAGGATCTGGACCCCCAAGAGCTTCCGAGGCCTAGGCGGCCCCTGCCCCCCCTAAAGACCTTAGATGATACCCCCCCCCCCCCTAATCAAGAATTGCTTCCACCGGCCCTGCCAGTCCATCTCTTTCTGCAATGCCATCCCTTGAATATTCAATATTGGCTTGTCTATGTTAATATATATCCCTGTTAACAATAGTGTCATGCTTGTGATATTGATATCATGCCGGAACTAGATATTTCAATTGCTCTAGAACGAACGTTTCGTGCTATATTCTAATCGAACTGTAGACTATGTGAAACGCGAAGTATTAATACCATCTTGAAAGGCCGTACTTTACTACGTTCAGTAACACAGTAGGCCGTATAGTATATAGGGTCCGAATGTTACCAAGGTAAGTCACGCGTTAAGCCCAATGGAAGACCCGAACTTTAACATTTGGTAAGTGTAGCAGCTTCGATGAAAGAGGGTGGGGGTGGTGGTAAAAGGTACAATGGTAAGTATTGCAGTAATAGTAAGTAAGGAGTGAAAAATCAGTCCTTTCTCCGGATAAGTAACATGGTAAGCTTAATGGAAGGGGTGAAAGGTCCGAACTTTCTCGGGATAAATAACACGGTAAGCCTAATCCAGGGATTGAAAGGTCCGAACTATCTCAGGATAAATAAAACGGTAAGCTTAATGGAAGGAGTGAAATACCCGAACTTTCTCAGGATAAATAACACGGTAAGCTTAATGGAAGGAGTAAAAGGCCCCAACTTTCTCAGGATAAATAACACGGAAGGAGTAAAAGGCCCCAACTTTCTCAGGATAAATAAAACGGTACGCTTTATGGAAGGAGTAAAAGGCCCGAACTTTCTCATGATAAATAAAACGGTAAGCCTAATGGAAATAGTGAAATACCCGAACTTTCTCAGGATAAATACGTTGTAAGCCTAATGGAAGGAGTTGATGGCCCGGATTTTCTTAGGATAAGTAACATGGTTAGCCTAATGGAAGGAGTGGATGGCCCGGATTTTCTGAAGATAAGTAACGTGGTTAGCCTAATGGGAGGAGCGGAAGACCCGAACTTTCTCACACGGGAAGTACGTGGTTAGCCTAATGGAAGGAGTAGAACTTTCTCAGGATAAATACGTTGTAAGCCTAGTGGAAGGAGTTGATGGCCCGGATTTTCTCAGGATAAGTAACGTGGTTAGCCTAATGGGAGGAGTGGATGGCCCTGATTTTCTGAGGATAAGTAACGTGGTTAGCCTAATGGGAGGAGCGGAAGGCCCGAACTTTCTCACGGGAAGTTACGCTGTTAGCCTAATGGAAGGAGTAGAAGGCCCGAACATTCTCGGGTTAAGTAACGTGGTAAACCAAATGGGAGGAGTAGAAAGCCAGTACTTTCTTAGTATAAAACACGTGGAAAGTTTAATGGAAGGAGCGGAATGGTCTACTATTATAACAATTATAGGCGCATCCAAACAAACACAATATCTACCATGGCCACCTCCGGTTTCCTACAGGGTGTCGGCGCTGTTTCACAATGTGAAATATATCCTGATAGAGAGACTAACATAGTAATGGATCAAGTTGGGGGCCCTCATCACTACAATTAATTTCTACAAAAGATCAAAACATTGAAATTTTAGAGAATTTATTTCCATTAGTATTATCAATTTCCTGTAAAACAATTTTAATTTCTTCTCCAGAATATTCGAATCACAGTTTCTATACAGCATTGTATCATAATTCCACCCAATCAATGATATAAGTTGGACATATTTAAATTTTGATTTCAATAAAACCGAATGATATTAAAATAACATTGAAGTAAAATTTGTTACACTTTAATAATAGATGAAATAAAAATAATATATGGATTAAACCAAACAACCCAAAAGGGTACAATAGGATTATCAACAACGTGTACATTATGCATTGACAGTACGAAAATACAATATAACAAACCACAAACACCCCTTGACCAATAATATATGTGGACTGACCGACTAAGTAGCAAATTATCGGACATTTTGAAATCCGAAAATAGATTACTTTTCGTGATATTGGTTGAGTTTAACATTATGAAGTTCACAACACTTTTATCCTTTAACGTTGTTAGACCAAAACATTAAGGGTAATAAGATACAGCATAGTGTTTTGTAGCCAAAACTTTGATGAAGGGGTGATGTGGATGTCTACACTACAGACGTTTTTTAAACTATGTACAACTAAAAATAAATTTATTATTTAATACTTTGCTTTGATTATCTATTATTGCAGCAAAGCATTTAGCTCTTTTAGACAAATCTTCCCGTCGCCACTTTTGTCGGCCTCGGCGATGTATTCGTTGATCTGGTCGTCGCTGAGGTCAAAGCCTAAATTCTTAAAAAGATCTCTGACTTCATCAGATTCTAACACTCCACTGCCGTCAACGTCAATTTTGTTAAACACAAGATTCAGGTTCGCCTTTCTGTAAAAGAGAAAAAGGGGGAAATTGGGTTTAACATCCTTTCGACACAAACTATGGTACAATTTTATTTCTATAAATGCTTACATAGAATACGGGCTAAACAGGGATATTGAAAACGTCACAGTCCGATTTTAAATTTTACTAGGATGCAGGACCGATTTTTAAAATCTAACCACGTGATATCACGGATTGTGGTTTATATCTGTTTATATTTAGCATTGTGGGAGCTACGATGGCTAAGTGGGTAAGACGCTGGCTCGCTAGCCTGGAGGCCGGGTGTTCGAGCCCTGATTGGCCGAGAAAGTTCATCTGGATTTTCCGACGTGGTTTCCCCTTGTCAGTGGTGCAGAACGGAGGGCCTGACAAGGACATCTGTCTAGTCTTTCGGATGGGACGAAAAACCGAGGTCAAGTGTATACATTGGAATGAACGTAAAAGATCCCTTAGCAGTTGGAATTCGATATAAGAGTAGGCGATAGTGCCGCTGTCCGGGCAAAATTTTCCTCATAGCAAACGGTATGGCGTATGCCCGTCTTCATTAGCCCAGTATAGAAGCAGAACAGTAGGACGTTAAACTCCATTTCATTTCATTTAGCATTGTACACTAATATCTTGGCTAATGAAGATGGGATATTATATATAGGGGCCCTAAGTACTTTTGGTGCCTCCATATAGTGTACAATACTAAATGTAAACAAGTTATAGACCACAAACAATCCGTGATATCACGTGATTAGGTTTTAAGATTCTATACACGTCATTATCTATTGAAACTAAGAAGTTAACAGTAAGAAAAGACAAAAAAGGAAATCGGGAAAACTAATTAAACGTTTTTAATTAATTTTTATATTAAATATCTTGAATTCGTCATCAAATATAGCTCAAATTCTGTGGCACCCCCTTCCCATGTTGCCCTAAACACGTGCTCGTATGGGAGTGGCTTATATTAAATAAAAGGATAGGTTGCCAGTCAATTAAAAATACGACCATAGCATTAGTCAAATCAGTCAACTTAAAATACAGATGTGACGTCATCCTTTGATGTTGGTGTACTATTATTTCAAATAATGTGCCAAGTGTAACTAATTAAAATATTGAACCCAAGTGATGTATTTCATTGCAAAGCACTTGCAAGTGTCTGTATTTTAAGTTGTTTAATGGCCTCGCGCTTAAGACATTGCGTAATATATTGTAAAAACACTCGGCCCTCACGGCCCTCGTGTTGTTACAATATATTACTTAATGTCTCGCTCTCGACCATTAAACAATACATAATATTTTTTCATTGTGGGCGTATAAAAATCCTTTTTGAGAATAATATATTAATAAAGTTTTGTGTGTTTTGACTATCAACGCACTAGCTTTCTACACTGCAGCAGCAAACTATTTAACCATCCAGACAAACGATAACTTACATGGCTTGATTTCGAGGAAGTTTATTCAAACAGTTGTCGATAAATTCCTCGCGAGTAATTTTACTGTCCGAGTTAGAATCAGCTCCACAGAACATCTCCTGAAAATAGAAAATAAAATAGATACAGAGACATTACCTTCACTGTCAATGTTCGGGAGCCGCGCTGACTCAGTAATTAAAGCGTTGGCTTCCTAACCAAGAGGTCGGGGGTTCGATCCCGGGGTTGGCCGAGACAATTGCCCGGGATTCTCCATCGTGGTTTACCTTTGTCAATGGTACAGAACGTGGTCTTGGCAAGGAAACGCACATAGCTGTTCAAATAGGACAAAAACAGAATTTGCGTGTACACGTTGACAGTTGGGACAAAACTTCAATGCACACTGTATGGTGTATATCCGTCTTCATTAGCCCGGTTGATGTAGAAAAGTGGGTTAAACCCCAAAATCAAATGAAATGGGGTTTAACGTCCTACTGTTCTGCTCCGACTGGGCTAATGAAGACGGGCATACGCCATACAGTATGCTATGGGAGAAATTTTGCCCGGGCAGCGGCACTATCGCCTACTCTTATATCGAATTCCAACGGACAAGTCATCTTTTAGTGCACGCCAATGTGTACAAGGGACCTCGGCTTTTCGTCCCATCCGAACGACTAGGCAGCAGTCATTGCCAGGCCCTCCGTCCTGCACCACTGACAAGGGGAAACCATGTCGGAAAATCCCGATTAACTTTCTCGGCCAATGCAGGGATCGAACACGTGTTAAAGCCCATTTTATTCATTGAAATTAGATAACGGTATACTTGAGTAAACTGTCAATATACATTTCACTGTCTATCATCGCTATATCTGTTCATTCTAAAACCGGTTTGATGTCACGTGACAACCTACCTAATATACATATACACATTGTTTACTGATGATGAGGCTAGACCCCGGGCGACTAATTCATAATAATTCACATTCTTTTATGGATTTCACACACTTTATGGAGAAGTCGCTCTTGTGCGACAATTTTCAAAATAAGTGAGCGGTATTGGATTCACCAGATTGACGTAGTGTGGGTTGCTAGCACGCGGAGCAATGGCAGTTTATGCGTTGCCCATCAAAATTCCAGAAGGGATATCATACGAGTTATCGCCCATTGTATTCTATGTTCAGTTGTTCTGATTACAATATACAGTTATTTTAATACCCCCACTCCATCTACAATACATTCTTTATTTTAATAATCCATCTTTTGTTCTCCCCCTTTTCCCACGACCAGATCTATCATTGACGCCATCCCTGACCTTTGCTGACCCCTAAACGCCGGTCAGGTGGACAATGGCTACAACTCCCTAAATTCCTAGACCTTAGCCTAAATCGTGAAAATGCAATGCACGTGCTTTGTGGGTAAGGGGGCGAACACTTGACTGCTAGAAGTAGTATGTAATTACAACAATCCAAATGAAATTGGAAATAAAATGAAATGTGGTTGAACGCCCGGGCGCCTTATCCTATTCACCAACTGGGCTAATGAAGACACGTGTCGATGAGAATAATTTGCACGGGCAGTGTCGTGTTCGTCTTCTCGTCACCGAATTCCAAGATCTCTTACTCACACTGACGTCCTACTTGAAGGGTGGATGAAATGGGGTTTAACGTCCTGCTTGTCGTCAGTAGAAGGGTAGGTGACAGTCAATCGGCGACTTTTTTAAGTTGACTACCCTTTGAAACAAAACATATTGGATCCGCACTGTCACTTTGCAAAAAAAAAAAAATAACCCGAAACAGACCAAGCCCCGCCCCCATCCCATCCCACAAACAAAGAAATTAATCTTGTTGTGTACTCTATACAATGTATGAAGCATCATGTTTGTTTTAAAATATGTCCCACACCCAAGATAAGTGAAGAATGTAAGGGTGTATAGTGTAAGTGGGTTGACATGTTCTATTGTTAAGCAGTGGACACATTAGCCGAATCGTTCGGCCGAATCAATCGGTGCCGAATTTTATTCGGCCGAATGGGTGGACACACTAGCCGAATGCTTCGCCCGATTCAACCTGTCGATTGCATCACCTTTCACGTCACATGATTAAACATGGCGGCGTCTATGTCTTCAATCTATCACGTGACTTCTCGATATGAGTGGTGATTGGCTAATGAATTCTATATTCGGCCGAATGCTTCGGCGAAGCGGACACACCAGGCGAATATAATTCGGCCGAATATATCAAACCTGTTTGATTCGGGCGAATAGAAATTTGGCCGAATGACAGTGGACACACTAGGCGAATTTCGACGCCGATTGATTCGGCCGAACGATTCGGCCGAATCATTCGGCTAGTGTGTCCACCGCTTAATAAAGAACAACATGGCGAATATAAATACATACATATACATACATATCATATAATTAACACATACTGTATCATTTCGAGACTAACATATCATGTTATATACGATACGCCCACTTATAATTAACCCAAACTGTGTCATTTCGGGACTAAAATATTTAACATATGACATGTCGTGCCTTATTCAATAAATTGGGGTCGGGCAATGACAGTGTCTAGTAGTTCGGATGGGACGAAAACCCAAGGCCCAGTTCAATAAAAGTAGGACGTTAAACCTCGTTTCATTTTTATTTAAGTGATGGTATTTAAATAATGACCTGGACAACCTTTTAAATGTGATCCCACATTTTGTTCCCACCATATTTATATATATACCAGCTGTATAGAAGCTGTATAATTAACAGTAGTAGACTCTGTTAGTCTTCAATCAATAACACATATATACACTGTTCAAATAACTTTCTTTCAAATTAATCGTTCTCTCTCACTCTAACAAATAATAAAATAGTATTTTAATAGCGTAACCTGAATGATTGTAGGTATGATTCATGTTAAAACTATTTTGTTCTGTGAGAGTTTTATTGTGAGCCTTCTCCATACAGATTATTATATATACTGTTTATTGATTTCAATATTAAACCCATTCTCTTACTCTACACGCTGCTATTACTAGCAAACATAAACTTTAATTCAAATTCAATTAAACTCAAACTCCATATGATTGAGAGCGCGAACTAGTCCAACTAACGGGAGCCTATTTACTTCAATAATTCAAACATACACTAATTTTACTTTTCTTTCAAACGGGCATAATGCAAGAGCTAAATCTTCCTATTACAGGTCTTTCTTTAGGCCTGAAATGTTATATAAACTATTACTTAGACATTAATTAACTTATCCAAACCATAATCAATTTTCGATGTCATCTTATGTGTCAGATTTTCACTGGATTTGAATCCGATTTGCTGCTCAACGCTTATTGATGATTTAATCCAAAAATGGATAATCGAGACTATGGTTGTTTTTTTTTATCTTACCGACTTTAGCAATGATGATGGAGGCTAGGCCTGAAATTTAATCGCTAATATCGCGGATCAGAGAGGAGCAATTTTCAGCATATTCCCTTTACATTATCTAGTTTTTAACTATTATAGTGAGAACTGCCAGCTCTTTATCTAATCTTCAATAATGCTCCCTTAACTTAGACGAACATAGGGTTACTATGGGGGAAATAGTACGGCCTTCTTTTATTTACAATTCCAACTGTCAAGGGTTATTTTACGTGCACGCCAGTCGGGACCTCTATTTTTCGTCTCGCCCGAACGATGTTCTTTACCGGGCTGTCAGTCCTGCACCACTGACGCGGGAGAGAGAGAGAGAGAGAGAGAGAGAGAGAGAGTAATCAAGCGTTTCCAAACTGTTTGAGGTTAAAGCCTTCACTCCCATAATAAATTATGTACTAAAATTCTTTACACCTACTGGACACATAAATAATTAAGGTGTTGGGGATATTATCAAAATATACCTACTGGACACATAAATAATTAAGGTGTTGGGGATATTATCAAAATATACCTACTGGACATATAAATAATTAACATGCTGGCGATATTATCAAAATATACCTTAATTAGATTACAATCAAACTTTGTCCGGCACGAAATCGGGGTCATTGGCTTAAATTGGTTACGCAGGATAATAGTCAAGTATTGGAATCGTCGTTAAACTTGATTGGCTTCATATCAGATAGCTATTGCAATAGAAATTGAACCATATGTTAGTCCCGAAATGACCTAGTTTGTGTCGAGTGGACGTTAAACTCTCTCTCTCTCTCTCTCTCTCTCTCTCTCTCTCTCTACATCAAGTCCCTTACAATAATATGATATAGTTATAGTCTGGCGGATGAAAAGAGGTGACAGCAACGTACGGTTACAGTTCAATGTGCGCGAATAATAAAAACTGAGTTGGTGAACTTAAATTTATCTCATTCAATTCAAGTATTTCTATAACATGGTCCTGGCACAAGATCTCTTCACGATAAATTTGATGTCAATGAATACGGAGATTTATTCAAACGCATTGAATACCCGCTTCACTGTGCATGAACAAGCACACTGTTATAAAAGCGACCAAGAAAAATATTTTATTTCACACAGATGTGTTTCGGTAAATTTCAACATTCAAATTGCAATTACGTCGATTATGAAAAGGGTATTTTATGTATAAACGCAGCGACTGCTCGAGTCGAGAAAGTACCCACCGAACACACATCGCTTTGATCACGGTCGGAAGACTAATCCTTGGTCGTTATGGCGAGTTGGAAATGAAATTGACCGGTCGTAATCCCTAACAGTGAGTTTGCCGTTTTACCGAGTGCAGCTTATATACGGAATTTGGTCTTGTTAAAATATGGTCGCATTCGCGAGTTGTCCGTAATACTGAGGTGGTCGTTAAACGGGATTGCACTGTATTAGTGAAATTCTACATATTTTATTTTAAATACTATTAAAGCAAGAACGACTAGCTCTTTATCTGAATCTTACATAATGAATCTTTTATTCTATTTAAACTCTCCCAAAACTAGAAATTATGAAATATTAACGACAAATTTGTTTAGTGGTAATCCGGAAATATACGGGACTAAATTCTACAGAATACAATTACTGAGTAAATACTACGATTCTAAAGTCGTGTCTGTGTCAACTAAATGATAAAGGGGAGAGGGAGAGAGAGAGAGAGAGGGGGGGGGAGAGGTGGGGAGG